CTTCGGATGACATCGTGTTATGCATGCTTAAGGCATTCATAGATGAACTCTGTGACGCAATAGTCACGATTTTTAATCTCTCTATAAAAATGGGAGCATTTCTATTGTGTTGGAAGAGTGATCTTCTTAGCCCAAGCCAGAAAAATGGAACTGTTCGAACGGATTTTTACCCCACGTATTATGCTCGCCATAAAATCGTTCATGTCTTCGAGACAAGATGTATATAAGCGAAGCCGATCAATTGTAAATAGCTCCATGGAATTGACAAATCATTTTTTTTGAAAGTTTTTCTAATGGCTTCCAAATGGACTTTAGATAGGCGGACTTTACTCAGGCTTCCCGAACCAAACAAAGCGACGAGTTAGTTTTTTTTGCAAAGTTCCCACTCATATCTAGTTAAATGGCTCAACTCATATCCCCTTAATGGATCCGGTAGAGTGTTCTTTAACTCATTCCATCCTCATGAGTTTCTGGCTACGTGCGGGGTACCTCAAAGAAAGCGCTTTGGATTCGTTCAATTTGCGTTAGATGCTAACGTGTGATCATGTGTATGTAATCAACTTATTCGAGATCTTGATGGGTACGTGAGAGACGACATGAAGTTATTTACGTCTGTTAACATTCACTCAATTCAAAAGTCGCTTAGGCCGACCGCAACGAATTAATTACTAAATGTTCAGTGAATTTCTCAAATGTAAGAAATTATCTTTTTCAAGAAGGAACGCCATCCACATAACATTACATGAAGTAGAGAATATGAGAAATGTCCCCTTATTTCGGAACGCTTTTTGACGGCAAATTTTATTTTAGGCTGCGCGTCACAATCCTCCGTTAATAAGGCAAAATTCACAATTCGGATTTATTAAGCGATAGATTCGAAATTTCGATAATCGATCCATGATGGGAAGACTGTATATGAGTTTATAGTAAAAACCCATATCGAAATATGCCTCTGAAAGGTGGTCTTCGTCCTATCGCTGCTATGTTGATGAGGCAATCAATTCGATTTAGAAAGAAGTCTTGGCTTTCTTCAGCTCAAGAAATTTGCTGCGGAAACCACAACCACTATAAAAATGATATACTCTCACTGGAGAAACTTCGTTTTGTGATATATATAGGAATTTCATTCGTTGTTAAGGATAAGAAAAAAAAAAAAAAGTGTTATCGCGGGGTTTCACAAGCCTTCTCCTGTGGAATCAATACCATTGGTCAAGTTCATCGCTCAAGAAGCTGTCAGTAAATAATAATAAAAAAGCAAAATAAATTCAATTATGTATCATTTAACCCATTTATGGTTCTTATCTATATCGATCCGTGTATCCGACTCAATTCATCGATTCATATTAGAATATCAAATCGTTCGTAGATTGCCAATGCCATATGCCCTTGTTAGACTGAAGTCAATTGTCAATGACAAGCCAAGATACGATCTTGTATAATAACTAAGCGTAATCTGTTTAGCGTTGATTCACTGGTTACTTCCTAGGATGATGTAGAAAAATTAAAAAATTCGACTCTTCGATATTTACGCGTTATGTTTATGTTAAAGGCTTAACTTAACTTAACGCTATAAAGAATATCGCATCAATTATTATTAAAACAAATAATCGAATTCAAGTGAAATCTATGAAAAGCAGAAAATGAATAGATAATGAAACTACGTAGTACGTACAAAAAATTGAAAGCGAGAATTTTCGTTACTCTTGTTTACAAGCGAATTTGTTATACAATACTTTGCATTTAATTGAACGCAGAACACATTTTAAGAACACATTTTCTTTCGACTTTAACGAAAAGTGCATACACACACACCTATAAAGCAAAAAAAAAAATAAAAAAAATAATAAAAAATATCGGCTTTGTTAAGAATTTTTCAATAATCGGGATATAAACAGTTGTGTTTGTAATCTATTAGCAGACAAAAATAGACAATAAACTGATTTTTAGATGGGGCTTCTCTTCAATTTATACATTCGCCAGATATTATATACGTATAGGATGTTTCGACATATTGCGTTCAAAAATTATGGACATCTCGAATTGATGCAATTTTCATTGTAACATTGTAACAACATAATGGGTGAACCACGTTCTGGATCGATTGACATGACTAACGGCACGACAATCAACAAATATATTTTCTCCATAGGATCTTTGATATGCGAATGAAAACTTTTAAGTTGCGACAAACCGAATTAACACATTTTTTGAAAAATTAAAAAGAAGAAGAAAATATTAACCGCATTAACTGGATGTTTTTTTTTAACAATAGAAAATCTCCAGAACGCTGCTATTGCTTACACCAAACAACTACTTATCGTAAATATTATGGTTTATTAAATTGCACTGTTAGCTAATGATTTCAAATTGTGGTCACAATGACTATTTTATGTTTAAATGTAACCTTCAGAAAACATATTACAAGAAAAAAAAAAAAAAAAAAAAAAAAAAAAAAAAAGGAATAATCTATAAATTCAGGCAGCGCTCTCTTATTTATAGGGTTTTCAATCTACTCATCGAGACCATTTTCCATTTGTGCAAAAATGCGAGCCAGATAGAAATCGCAAATTATTGCGAAGAAAGTCTTGGAAGAACTGCGACCATTTATATGCCGTTTCGACTTTTTTCTCGCTTAACCATGGCCGTGTGCGTGCTTATTAGAACTTAACTAAGCTGATTTTAATTTTTCTTGACTCAAACACCTTTAATGCGTTCCCTTCAATTATTCATGCAACTTGATTTCAAAATAGGGCGAAAAAGTAGTTCATCCTTGATTTAAAAAACATCAATATACGGAATTTCATCGAAATAACACAAAAATTGCTGCTATCTCTAGCGGTCTTGAACACAAGACAAGGTTAAATCGAATCAGAAGGCGATTCTGAATTGATCGGTATAATAAAAGATGGTTACCAAGCCAAAATCCTTCTGGGTGTTTTGTACATCCGCACCACTTTAATAGGCCCTTGTACCACAAATCGTGTGTAGAGTATAAAAAGCAAAGGTTCACCTCAGCGCCCTCAGTTTCTTCTAGTCGCAATAGTAACAGTGCGTGTGGATGGAAAACACACAACTCCAACAAGATGAATCCATCGACTTAAGGACAATGCTAAAAAGCCACATTTCACTTTTCTAGTTTAACATTTTCAGTTACGAGAGTTCGAAGAACATGAAGAAGGATACAACTGACGAGGATTTTGAACTGTTACAAGCGAGCCAGTGAATAAAATGCTAAATATATTTATTCATTCATTAGCTGTTAAGGTGTAGAAAGAGAAAGCTTCTGTTCGATTGTATATGTGTCAGGTAGGCGGTATGGATAAACTTTGACATTGAATTATCATTTCGCCCATTAGAAAGAAGTTATAAGACCAATCAATATCAGCAATAAATTATTTGTTATAAATTTTTTTATTCATTGCTGTTGAGAGTGTAGACAATGTGTGTAGTGAGATTGTAGTGCAAATGAATTTAAGTGTTGACGAGCAAATCTATTCTTAATTGATATAAAGTTCAAGTCATTGCATTAAAACGTAATTTCGACTGTCGCGTAATAATTGCAATTTTTTTTATCTTCTCAACAGATGATTTTGCCTTTTTTTTCATAATTATGTTACGTAAGCGTAAGGTACCTTCGAAACTGATAAAATACATGATGTAGTTATCATATCGTATTAAATACTTTGTTTTTTCTGTTTCTACGGTAACTAGAATAACGCATGCATAGATAGATGTGTGGAAAGCATCGGTTCAATTCAAATCGAATCTTAATCATTTTTGATTAAAATTTCTATTGATGGATTACATTAAGGGAAGTTAAACCTTTTTAAGGGAATTAAATTCGATTCTATTTTAAGCATAAATCATTTAAATGAAATATTATTGAAACGATCCAAGGCACAATTTGTAGCAGTATAAAGAAGATGGCATTGCCTGTGCTCAACGTATCTTAGCGTAATCTAGGAAACGTGTTTCAAATTGAAACGCTTATGCATTACATCGCTATCTACTTTTGATTAGTATATGTGAGATATGAATGCACTAATATATATTTCATTTAACATCAATCATACGTCACGTAAACTATAAAAGCGTACCTGGTTACCTGATGATTTAACCGCGAATACGTGTGAAATTTAAAGATGATAAAGTATAACAATAATAATCGTGCAAGGAAAATATTCAAAATTTTTATATTTATATATATATATATATATAGATATATATACATATATTCAGTAGAAGAAGTCAATAATGTTTTTTAATAGCATTAGCGATTCTAATTGTCTGTAAGAACCGTACCGTTTAAGTTTCGGTTTAACAGTCGCTTGCTTTCTTGTTCCTTAACGCAAAACAATTTGAAATTGCGTCGAGCATTATTCGGAAACACTACTCTTGAAAAATCCGATATGATAGCTTAATCTATCTATCTATCTTTTTCCATTTATTCCAATCGTTGATTTGGTCTCACGCTCACAAAAATTGAAATAGAAAACCGCAGTTTTACACTCATGCACTCTCACTCGACTAGCACGGATCAAATAGATAAAAATTTGTAATTTACCATTAATTGCATATAAGAGCCTAATAAAACTTGTAATGGCAAAAAGCTACCACAAACGGTCAATCGATACGTCCCCAACTTAATTAGGAACCTATCAATGATATCAGTGATATTAGAATTTGAAGTGACAGATATTTAAGATTCATTCTAAACTGAATACTAAGATATTTGATAGACGAATTATTGGGAAGTAGTGTAATGGACTTTATCCTAGAGTCCTAATGAGTGGAGGATTTAATGAGTGAGAGTTTAGGCTATGGCCGCCTATGTTCATTTAAATTTGCAAAAAAAACTTTTCAAATATCAATTCATTATGAAACATATCTGTATTCTATACTGCGATGAGAGAGCAACCACACATTCATGACACTGGAATAATGCTCTCAATAGATAAAGAGGAGACTATAACGAAACTATATAGCGATAAGGAGCTTACCTTAATATTTTGGCAGATTCATCAACAATTGAAACATTGTTTGTTTTAATTTCCTTTAATCCTTAATTGCTTTTAAGGAATTTCTTGTTTGTTTGTGGTTGCTTTCTTTATTATTTTCGTATGTTTGTTTTAAATATCCGTTTTTCAATACATTTATATATATATTTATATATATATATATATATATATGTATATATATATATATAGGTTTTATTACTCTTATTATTATTATTATTATTTATTATTATTATTATTAGTTTTTTATAATTAATTATATTTTAAATGTAAGTACTTTAGGTAAAAATGTAGAATAATATGCTTTGTGCGTTTACAGGTTAACTTTACGATTTGATTTTTGTGTTTCATCACTGAAGTAATTTTATTTTATATATATATATATATATGATTTTATATATATATATATATATATATATATATATATA